TATAATACAAGCAGGGTGTGAGTGTGGGTGGCTGGGTTGGGTGTGGAAGAAGCGAACACCCACCCACACCCCACACACCCACCATCAAGATCTGGGTGTGAGTGTGAATGTGTGGTAATGAAAATAAAACCTAGACCCACACCCACACCCTTTCAATTCTGACTTTTCCTTCGATGAATGGAAGCTAGTTGAGAAGTGATTTTTTTCTTTTTTGTATATTGGACAGCGTGTTAAGTTTTCTAGCGAGACTTTAATTCTGTAAGAGTGTGATGTCTATCGAACGTGTAAGTTTTTCAGGCGCAATGGCAACTAAAGAAGTAAATGAAAAATGAAAAAAGTGTTTACAAAAAAATAAAATAAATAGAAAAACAAGCTAAGAAGAAGTAAAGTCATTTTGCACTGAAAAATGTTTTTCTGTACTTGACTCTTTGAAGGATTATCAGAATAGATATTTGTGAAAGTGAATATCAAGGTTTTTGCTAGTGACAATGAATTTCTGTTTTATTTTGTATCATTTAATTTTCAACGTATGGCCAATTGTTCTTTAATAATGTTCTTGATTTTTGCTTTTTCATTTTGACAGGCACACATAATCTGACTATTAATTCTCATTTGTACACTCCATAAGCGAAGGTTATTCAGGTATCTGAAGTTTACAATTAATTTTTAATAGAACTTTAAAAAAATCAATTCAGCTATGTTTTAGTAAAAACTAAAAATCAGATTTCAATTCAGATGCCAACAGACTGCAACCAATATTTCAGTGTAAGCAAGTAAATAGTAGAGAAAAATATGGACTGATTTTGAAGCAATGCGTTATGTGTCAGAAAAAGACAAAAGCTAAACAACAATAAAAACTCCTATATTTAGTTAAGCCTATCCAAGTCTTTATATGCCCTAGCTTGAGCTAACAAAGCCTACCGATTTCTAGCGTAAGATAGATTAAGCCTGTCTGTTTTCAACCTAGGGTAAGCTTGAGCCTCTCAGGCGTAATGGCTCTACCGCATACGCTAGGCTTAATAGAATGAAGAATGTCATATAGTATGCAGAAATCTCGAGGCAAGAGTTGAGGTCTCATTGTAAACTGGGGAGCTTGAATTTCTAGTTCCATTGTTGTAACTTCTTATATTGTCTCTTGAATTTCTTTCTAATGTGTGTGCAATACGCTTGAACACTGCAATATGTTTTATTTTGACGCTGTAGTTGTTTCCTCAACGTTGATGCCAATAGTCCTCGATTGTTTCAATGCCAAAATTTTACAAGAAGCACAAATAAAAAAAGCAGATACTACTTTTGACCTCTATGGAAAGTCTGTTGATTTCTTATGCTTTTTATTATCTTCCATATTTTTTTTTAATTAACTCATGTGATCCTAATCAATAGCATTTCAAACATCATATTTCAATAATAGGATATCCCCAGTTTCAGTATTATGTCACTATGAGCGAAGAAAACAAGGTAGTTTTTGATTTAACAAGAAGTTTCTATCAAATGATGCTCTTGTATCATGCTATGTAGAGTTATATGAAAATCTAATTCAACTGATTTAGTGAGACAATTCAATATATGTTCAATAAAAACTCTCAAGATTCTCATCGCGGCAACAAATGATATACTTCGTATGCTATAGTTGTGACTTTGTACGGAAAAAATGTATAAAGATAAAAAATAACGACCATAAAATCAAAATGCGAACAAATGCTTAAGAAACTTAAGCAGAAGCTGATCATTAGATTTTGTAAACAATTTTCAACTCTAACGGAGAGCTTACAAAAATTAAAATTGAGTTTCTTTCATTTATCAATAATAGCAACTTAATCCGTACTACGAGATAATTAAAATGACTGATGTTATAGTTGCATTGAGCTGCAGCTTGACTGTTTTTTTATGAATCATCATTCAATAAAAGAATTTCTATCTGTAACATAAATAAACCAATCTTATTTCGTTTCTGGAGCCTCTATAATGGCGTCCATGTTTTTCCTTAATTCGTTAAATCCCTTAAACAGTGCCCACAACCACCAATAGGATCAGCTCATAATGAATAGAAATGATACGCCCAATAGATTTTTTTTCTTCTAAAGGAAATTAATATTACTGCTTATTAGAGTAAAAATTGTGGTATAGAATAAATGTGTTTGCCATAGTGTATAAGTAGGTTACATTATTTGATTCGAACAAATGAACAATAAACGATCGTACAATAGACTATGGATTAGCCATATGATGGGGAATTTGAATTTGCGGCAAACTCATTTTCTTTAAAAAAAATGAATTTGCGACAAATTCATTATATAGAGGTAGAGAAGCATCTTGAGGATGAGGAAGGTACCCTTGGGGAACAACAAAGTGAGGGTGAGGGAGATACTGCGGTATAAGGATACTTATACCGCTATACCACTATAGCGATATAAGCGGTATAAGAATTTTGAATTTGCCACAACTTCAAATTCCCCATGAACTCGGATTAGCTCTTTCTTTGTGACGTCTCCTGTTTCAGTTCGCCCGCCACGCATATATAAATATGCTGAATTTTATACAATAATCAGAAACATACATAGTGGTGAATATCGTGGTGACCATCGTAGTGAACATCGTGATTGTCTTACCAGAAATAATGTGCAAGCCAAAGTACGCGGTAATATTTTTTTAACTACCCAGGTCAAACGATACGGTCCGTAAACGACCGTTTACAGTTACCTTACGACGCATAAGCGGAACGTATACGGCCGTAATATCGGGCACAGAAATACGGCCCTATCATAATGAGATTACGCCCAGTGTACGGCTGTATACTGTGAAAATACAGCCTTGTATACGGTGCCGTATGAAGCAAATTACGGTGAAAATACGAATAGCCGTATCTATAGACCTGGGTAAGCATTTTTATTTTAATATTTTTTTTAACAGTTAAAGAAAAACTAATTAGTTCCTCAATTAGTTCCTCATGGTTATGAATATTATGATTTACAATATACACATCGTGTTTATTTTTAGATTAGTAAGAAACAGAATTTCTTATCTAAAAGTAATTTGATTGCTTTTTTTTAGAATATGGAAGTCAAGAAAACTGCCTCACAATTACTTCAAGAGGTCGTTCAAAAACACGCGCAAGAAAAGATTGTAGATCAACTCAAAATTGCATCACTCAAAGTCGAAATTAAGTTACTTCGTGAAAAATTAGGTGATAGAGAAGAATTACCTAACAATCAACAATCAACGTCGTTATTCAACATGGTTTATGGAATTGGCCAATATGCTTCGGTATTAATTGGTATAGCATTGTTAGTGATTATGCATTATTGGAAATGAATATCAAAAATGGACATGGACATGGACATAAAAATGGACAAATTCTTTTTCTCTTTTTAATTGTAAAAGAAATTTATTTCCTCTTTCATTCATGTAACGTTGTGTTTCTTTGTTGTTAATTCAATTTAATCAAATAAAAATAGATGTGATGCCTATTAATATCAATACATTATATTTTATACAGTTAACAACAATAATAATAGTAAAAAAAAAGTCTCAATATAATAAAATAGGCGTCGGTCCTCTTTGAGCGATCCACTAATTAAATTCTAGTAGCATTATAATGCAATGTACATGTGTCAATTGACAGTGTAGACCCAGGTCGAAATCACCCTGCCGGATCCTATCGGATCCGAAACTATCCGCCAGTTTCCGACAGTCGGAATCCAATCGAATTCCGACTGTCGGAAACCAATCGGATTCCGACTGTCGGAAACCATCGTTATCCATTACTTTCCGACGATTTCCGACGTCGGATTCCGACAATAGGATCCGATGACATCCGACAATAGGATCCGATGATATCCGGCAATGGGGAACTTGTCGGATCCGACGAAATTCGATGGTAGGAAAATATCCATAAGACCCTTTATTTTATTTTTATTTTTATTTTATTTAATTTTTATTTTTATTTAATTTAGTTTTTATTTAATTTAATTGAATTTTTATTTAATTTTATTTTAGTTGTATTTTATTTATTTTATTTTAGTTGTATTTAAGTTATTTTATTTTTATTTTATTTATTTTATTTTATTTTTATTTTATTTATTTTCCCAGGTCAAACAAGCACGGTCGTAAACGACCGTATACGGAGAAATACGACGATTTACATGGTCACGTATTACGATCGTATACGGAGTTCGTATACAATCTCCGTTTTGCTCCGTATTTCTACGTATATCGTCGTATTGCCCCGTATACGGTGACGGTGATATACGATCGTAATACGTGACCATGTAATACGGCAAAATACTGTCGTATACGGAGGAAAACGGACCGTACACGACCGTTTACGACCGTTTACAGACTCCGTAAACCTCGACCTGGGTTATTTTATTTTTATTGTATATAATTTTATTTTATTTGTTTTACTTTATTTTATTTTTATCTAGGTGCATATCAGATGCCTTGGGGTGCTAAAGTATAAAAGGACCTTTTTTTGTTTTAGATTTTATTAAGCACGAAGTAAGTCGACAGTGAGTACGAATTTTATCATTTTATTTCGTTTTTGTTTTATTGTATTTTTACTTATTTTATTTTATTTTTTTCTCTAATTTTATTTTTATGTTATCTAATTTTATTTTTATTTATTTTATTTTTATTGTTTTATTTTACTGTGTTCCCAGGTCAAACAAGCACGGTCGTAAACGACCGTATACGGAGAAATACGACGATTTACATGGTCACGTATTACGATCGTATATCTCCGTGTCGTATACGGAGAAATACGGTGATATACGGANTGAGCATGTTTCAAGTAAATAATGTGTATGACTATTACCACATAAACGTATTACACCTGATTCGGTATTATCGATCTCAATCGATGGATCATATAAATCATATTGCGCACCTTGATTACGTAATGTTGTTCATATTGGTAAATTTAGTGTAAGAGTATAAATTTAAAATGTTCTATGAGTTTGACTACAAAATAATTTATTTGTTTGTAATTATATTTTGCATTCTTAAAATTCTGATGTATAATTTAATGATGAAATTATCGCATCACCATCAACATTTTCAGATGAACATATATCATGTATAAGTTTTGGACGTGTTGGAACACATTGATATTCAGCATATACATAATTTGTTTTAGAATCATAACATGATTTCATTGATAGTAATGGTGCAGATAAATAACAAGATGGTTCACCATCACAAGTGTTACATGAAATTTTGTGAATCTTGACTTGATAAGTGATATAATGCAAAAATTTTATAGGTTGGTAAACATGTACTAAATAAAAGTTCTGTTGAACATGTATTACATAAACGTCGACTGTACTATTGAACATTATATTGATCAGATAATGGTAAATAATCATTTGAACATTCTTCTGTAGTTTACATTCTGGTAAATATTTATGTTTCGAATGATGGCACGAGCCTATTAAATGCTTATAATGCAGAAGCAATTTCATATTGCTTTTGCGACGCTTTTTTCTTCTAGAAAGATTACTTTTTCGGAGAGAAATTAAGTGCTTAAGAAAGCAGTGGAGCAATATCGAATTTCTATTTATCGAAAGATCACGTCGTGCGATTCTTCACTTTCGGCAAATGCGAAAAACATTATCTATTCATTAGATATAAAGATGGGTACCGTCGCTATTCTGTCTCATTTCCACACAAGCGATGGTTTTAACAGTAGTTCGTTGTTTCGTATTTATTCTACTCAGGTAATTGTACAACCTATTTTTTCCTATTTATCTAATGTTGAACTTTCTTCCTTTTAAGTCTTACAGGTTTGATTCGTGTTTTGTTTTACATGTCTTGTTATTAATTTAGTATGTTGCTAGTTCGAGTAAAATCTCAATTCTGCCATGGGATGTCTCAATATGGTCGATGTTCGCCAAATAGTGCGTGTGCCTGTTTTCATATAGCAGGTGCTATTAACATTGGCATTTGTGGCGATGAATTTGTGGATTGTTCTGAGCTAGTTCCATGCGAACGCTCAAACAATCTTTGTCGCGAACCTAACCATAGATGTGTTTATCATCCTCGATGTCATAATATTCCTGTATGTTATCCGGTGCCGAGTTTCAATCGACAACTCTGTCCCCCGATAGCAAGTAAGAGAACAAACAGCGATCTACAGACTCAACTAAACATACTCTCAGATATGCAGTTCATGTTGATGTAGGAACGGTGAGGAAAAGCCGAAGAGCCTCTGAAAAAAGTAGATAAAGCGTGGCAGAGACAAAACGAATTGCAATCATTGGATAAATTATTTCATCTCTTCTCATGGGTCATATTCATTAATTTGAAACGCAGAGCCTATTGCAGTTAGATCTAGCAATGCATCAAGACGTAGTGAACTTTTGAATGTACATCAGAGACCGAAACTAATTGAAAAATTGATCATTCAATTCCGAAAACCGTGTTATATGTTAGAATCTTCATAAGAGTACTTCAATTTTATTGTGCCATGTTTCTCTTTATTTACAGTTTTCGTTGTATACTCGACTGAGTCTTGTAAATATTGAGCTCACTCGGTAGCCTTTTTTCAAAAGCAACTGCAATTGACATATGGCTCGAAAGAAAACACATTTATAATTATCTCTACCATGTTTCTTATGACTAACCTTGAGAAATTGAAGACTAATTATTTAGCTGTGACGCAGTAATTGCTAGAGCTCAAGAGAGCTTTAGCCATTCAATTGAATGAATATGCTACTGATGATCAGTAATGCAACTGTGTCTGTAAATTATGTTACATAGCTTTGTTGCACTACTGACTCAGCTGTCTCAGTAAGATACTAATAAGCACAGAGTGCATCTTACCAGGCCATCTTTGAAACAGCTACTTCTTTTGAGGGCTATACCTGCGTGTATCAAACATTTGAGATTCCTTTCTTAAGAGAAGAATGGCAATATTCAAACTGTTTGACAACGAGAGAGGCGAGAGAAAGAGATAGAGAGCTTGTAACAATTTATCTCTACACTATTATTCTGTGTTTCGAATACCCCTGTAAACTCATTTCACTCACACTACTGATATGACGGCAGAATATTCTAATGATCTGAGATGAACTCACTGGCAGATGAGCAATTTATACGAGAGGTTGAAATTAAAAACATGACACTTCAAATAATGATGTTGCACTGCAACGGCAGTCAGTAAATTTATATCTTTTGCTCGTATTTAAAATACAACAGAAGCGATGAATTTGAGCATGATAAGCTTTCGTTTTAGTCTCGAAACGCTTGTATACGCTGTTTGTCGAACGGATTTCCTGCTTTTAATGCTTTTTGACGAATTTTGCAACATTAGCGACACGAAGCAGACAAATGATACATGAGGCTCTAGACGAGACGATTTTTTGGTATTTCGCGAGTCTCTGCACTATCTCCAAGATTTTTCAAAGTCAAGAAAGTAGATGAGGTCTGTCTAATCGATCTTGACGGATTCGATTCGATTTGATTCAGTTGAATGACATTGAATTAAATAGTCGAAAATTTTACTTGGTTCCAGTATCTGATGAACACAAAGGTTTTCCATCAAAAATCAGTTTTGAAAGAAGAAACCTGATTATCAGAACATGTGAGGCCTTCGATCTCCTTTGAGACTCTGCTTAGACTTCACCTAAAACTTAACTGCGTCGATTTCTATATTGCATTCTATGCCAGACCTAAAATTATCTGCTTTGTTTGCACAAAACTTTCTATGATAATGAATAGCAATGAATACTACAACGACAACTACAATTCCAATTCCAACTACAACTACTACTCAACAGTCAGGTAAACTTTAGATTAAAGCTCTTTGACCTTGGTAAATACTAATTTTTAATCAAGTATATATAATTGCTTTGCATGCAATATGACTCTGCAGCTAGCTAAAGGTTACATTGATAAAACCAACGATCTTATATCATGGGTGATTCTATCTATATCATAAGATAAAATCAATCATTAGTAATCCCCATATTGATTACTTTTCGTCACTATTGAATTTTACTTCATTTTGTTGACATCTACGAAACGAAATCCATTCTTCCTCTTCGTTTGATACTACTATATATGCTGCCTTTCAACCAAAGATGCTTTATTTTAATTGAATAAAACATTGGACTTCAGATACTATAAAAATGCACTGTATTCTAAAGGTCTCCGCCTTTATTTCCCTGCCTGAATTCAAAGAGATCGTAAAGAGCTTCTTTTTAGTTTCCGGTAAAGAATAAACATTTCACTGTCGAATGATATAAGATTACTTAAAAACTAATTAGTTGATCATTAAGAAGAACCAATAGAGTAGGTCCCGAGAAAATTTTGATTGTTCTCTGCAGTTCATGCATGTCACTTACTACATATGAATCAAATAAGAGCACTTGATGTAAGCAGAAACATATCGAATCGTGTCCTAGAGAATCTTTAGTAACAACTCACTGAAGATGCATAAAATATTGAAATAAGTTTAAAACATCAGAACATCTGTGTTATCGAAAATTCAACACCGGTAGCACAAACATAGAATGCATGGGGGTAGAGGAGAAAAATTGGAACTAGTCTGGCTACGAAAATATGACAGCAAACCTGGATGCTGTACAAAAACGACGGTTGACAAACGAGATTTTTGCAAATTTAAATTGATCTGACTCCCTTGACGTGTTTTGAACCGAAAGGTATTCGATGTTTTCATTTCACTCTACTGAAATCGGCTTTCAGACGTTTCAGTGAACAAAGAGGTGCTTCAAAGAAAAAACTGTGTCTCGGTTGCTTACTTGACGGGTCTACGAAAATTGGTTGAACGAAAAATGCTCGAACGAAAATTGGTCGTCGATAATTGGGCGATACGAAAATTGATCGAAGAGAAAATTGGTCGAAAATTTTGTTATAAAAGAACAAAAGCTTTTTCGTAATCAGAAGCTCTAACTCTTAAGTGTAAAAGCAAAATTTACNAAAATTTTTATATCATATATATATATTTCTAGAAGTATATATATAATTACAATAAGTTTATTAATATCTACCAGGGTCCACCAGGGTCTACCAGAGTCTACCAGGGTTTACCAGTGTCTACCAGGGTCTACCAGAGTCTACCAGGGTTTACCAGTGTCTACCAGGGTCTACCAGAGTCTACCAGGGTTTACCAGTGTCTACCAGGGTCTACCAGAGTCTACTCGGGTCTACTAGGGTCTCGATGTGGGTGCCGCGAAACGACTTACATCATATCTCTCTCGATGTGGGTGCTGCGAAGCGACTTACATCATATCTCTCTCGATGTGGGTGCCGCGAAATCCTGGTAGACCTTAGTAGACTCTGGTAGACCCTGGTAAGCCGTGGTAGACACTGGTAGACCCAGATAGACCATGGTAGACCCTAGTAGGCCCTGGTAGACCCTGGTAGACCCTGGTAGACCCTGGTAGATATTAATAAACTTATTGTAATTATATATATACTTCTAGAAATATATATATATGATAAGGAAATTTTGAATTATTTTGTAATTCTTTTTTTTTTTAATTATTTTGAAATACTTTGTAATTCGAAAGCGTGATGGTCTCCCTACGGACCACAGTATCCTAACAATGAGTTTTTCTGTGGAACCTGGAGAGTGTGGTCCTTACAAATTTTCGAGCGCAGCATATTTTCCTTTGCATTTTGTAATCATTTTGTAGCTTTTGAAAAGTTCTATCTGTACTGAAAAAATGAGGATTGTATCAGAAGCCATACTTAAGATCTTACGGACCATAGTATCGCAACAGTGAGTTTTCCTGTAGAACCTGGACAGTGTAGTCCTTGGAAATTTTCGAGCGCAGCATATTTTACTTCACAATTTGTGATCATTTTATAGGTCTTGAAAACTTCTATCTGCACAGAAAAAATGACGATGGTATCAGGAGCGATACTTAAGATTGTGTGGACCATACTTTCCCAACTATGGGTTTTCTTGTAGAATCTGGACAGTGTGGTTCTTGGAAATTTTCGAGCGCAGCATATTTTCCTTTACATTTTGTGATTATTTTGTAGCTTTTCAAAACTTCTATCTGCACTGAAAAAATGACGATGGTATCAGGAGCGATACTTAAGATCTTACGGACCATACTATCCCAACAATGGGTTTTCTTGTAGAACTTGGACAGTGTGATCCTTGGAAATTTTCGAGCGCAGCATATTTTCCTTAACAATTTGTGATCATTTTGTAGCTCTTGAAAAGCTCTATCTTCTCTGATAATATGAGACTGATTTGGTAAACTAACGCGATTAGCCTGTGAGAGGGTTCCCGATATTGATAATGCTTCTGTCCTAGGTAGAAATGTCGAGAAGAGGTCTCGAAACATGGCCTGAAAGAGATCCAGATGCTTTATTCTTACTTAGAGGAAGA